TCACTGACAAAACAAAATCCACACCGCTCCCACGTCCTCACCCTGCACTAGCCTTTACAGTGTCAGAGTTACCTGTTGAGGGAGCCTAGGTGCCGGCATAACGAGCGGCAATCTCAAGGGGGAAAGAGAGAGCAGAAGGGAGAGCCACACATGTAGACCTACCCAGCTCCCTCTCTTATACATAATTTATGTTTTGGAAGGAAGACATACATGACCCAGGAGGTACAGGTAATGAGGGAGCACTATCAGGTAGTCATCGGCACTTTGTTAGATGCATGAAAGCTCATCTGCTACAACATTGTCAGCACCTTTATTATGTTTGTTCACAGGGTTGTAATCCTGTGCCAACAATGCCCAACGCATTAGTCGCTGGTTCAGATTGAACATCCAGTAATAAAAACAAGAGTGTTGTGGTCTGTGAACGCTGTTCCTGAGGGAGAGCTAGAGGCAACAGAGACTACAAAATACTGTCGCTCAAGAAGCGAGGCCAGTGTCTCCTTTTCTACAGTGGTGAAGTTTCATTGATGGGGTTTAAACTTCACTGAGAAATAGCAGACAGGGTGGCACACCTCCATCCTGGAGTAACATGGCGCCAGCTCTTGTGGTGCTGACATCAACATCTAGTTTGAAAGGGTGAGAGAAGTCAGGAGCAGCCAGAACAGGGGCCCTACAGAGGAGGGACTTTGCCGGCTCAAATGCACATTGGCACTCTTCAGATAAGAGGCATGGATGGACTACACAACTTGGTCAAAGGAGCTACAGAAAAGCTTCTACAGAAACACCTGTTATATCCAGTCATCCCTAGAAACCGTTTTAGTTCCCGCCAAGTTGTTGGAACCGGATAGTTTAGCATTACAGCGACTTTGGCCTTCACTAGATGAACCTGTCCAAAACCAACCTGCTTGCCTAAGTGTGTAACTGTCGCTTTACGTCTGTGTAGGTTCTCAGTCATTCAGGTCATGGTAATCTAAGGACCTTGAAAAGAAAAGCGACTGGACTTCTTGAGTTTCTTTAACACGTTTCACCTCTCATCCAAGAAGCTTCTGACACTTGCCGGACTTTATCAAAGGTGTAAGCATCACAGCAGATTCCTTTGTGTCAAAGTAACTGAGGATAAAACACAGAAAAACCACCATCCTAGCTCTCCTTGTGGGGAACACACCCAGTCATGTCAAAAACTCCACTGACATATTCAAGTTTATTGGAAGCCCACAAACACAGACCAGTACCTACTCTTTGACACCCACGACCCTCTGGAACACAAACTTGGAGTGATCAGGATCCTGCAACACCGGGCAGAAAACATTCCCTCTAAGCCAGAAGGGAAAAAGAAGGAACACATGTGGTCATTCCAACTGGGCTTTCATCACAGTAAAGAAGATCAGACACCAACTAGGGAGAATCAGAAGGACAAATGGAACAACATTGTCATCCTTTATGTAGCAGGTCTGTCAAAAAAACTCAGGAAAGTCTTCTCGAGGCAGAACATCCCAGTGTACTTCAGACCCAGCCACACATTCAGACAGAAACTGGTTCATCCCAAAGACAAAACTCCTAAACACAAACTTAGCAACTTAGTGTATGTTGTGCAGTGCAGTGAGGAGTGCTCAGACATCTTCATTGGAGAAAGC